CATGGGAACATGAACTTCCTGTTTGTTTGTTTGGCTCTCATTACACACAGTACACCTGAAGCTCTGCTCTGCCCCGTCAGCATCCACTCAGAGTCTGGAGCTGCATGTGGGGCAGAGCTGTGGTTCCCTCCACCCTCAGTCTGCCCGCAGACATATTGAGTTGGGTCGTGTGCCATGAACATATTTTAGTCTGTGTGGGTTTCAAAATACTGTCTGTGAAACTCAACCCCAATTCATCTTTCAGATTACATATAACGGGATTCCATAATCAGGATACAAAAAAGGTAACTGTGCCCTTACAGTTACATAACAAAAGATGTAATCACATTTATTTTACATTTCTGAAAATAGTTGATTACCATCAGGATTACAATGTTACTAAAACTATAGAGCATCTACAGTAGTGTTTGTTGTAAAGGGTCAGATGTTCTCTCTTCTCTGTAAGCTGTACTGTTCTGTAGGCTAACACTTTAAGAGTGAGTCTATACTTCTACTGCCTGAATCTGCTTCATGGTTTTCACTTTCTTTGCTTCATTTGTTCTGTTTTTAATTCAGCAGGTGAACCTGTATGTTCATAAAATAGTGTGTGTGAGCTTAACTGTGTGTATTAAACTAAAACGGAGCATTTCCTGTCAGCTCAGGTTTGATTCCTGCTTTTTGAAACTGTAGGATGTGCTCATGCTGAGTTAAAGGCAGCTTTTCCTATAAATGAAATCTCTGAGCAGAGGACACATTTTTGAATTACCAATACAATTGAGAAGCACCTTATTGAACTTTCATCAGAGCCCCATTTGAAACGGGTCACTCAGCTACAACCGTAAAATACTGCATGTAAACTGAGTCATCAGTATGAACAGTCTGATAATCATTCTAATATTAGTTTAGCCTCTTACTTTTTTGTTTTGGAAAGTACTGTACTAAACACAAATTTGAGCTACTTGGACTTTACTCAAGTATTTTGTTTCTGTGCCACTTTTGGGTAGTGGCAAGACAGATTTAATTTAATTTAATTAATTGGTAGCAGTTTGGCTCATTGTATTCAAATTATTTGCATAAGAAACCTTTCACAGTTCTACCTCCTCAAATGTGAAAATGTTGTGTTTTTCCTTTTGAATATTTCAATTTATTTTTAATAACTTGCAGTACTTTTGCCAGCAATGGAGTATTTAACATTTTAAATTACATTTGTAATGTGTTAAAAGCTCTCATATGGCCACATATTTTTGGAGTGATTAGGTGATTACATAACAACTGAAGAGTATGTTTGTTGGGTGTGTGATGCCAATAAGTGTTGTATGTTACACTTAAAATGTGTAGGTATTATAGTATGATGACAAATGGAGAGATGGAGTGCATGTTTGATGAGGGTGGTGCAGGCAAACAGTTATTTTGTGTCTCAAGTTCCATGTTCATGAGGTTAGTTTTCTTGGCCATGATTAGGGTTATGGAAAGTATTTTAAGTATTTTATTGGATGTCTTGTTTAGATTTATGTTGGAAATCTCTCCAAGAAAGCAGAGGTTGGGGGAGGGGTGGTCAAATGTTTGCTAAATGTGATGAGTATGAGTGATGTGTATAAAATCCTCCCCCGGTAAATTCCACCAAAGCATATTGTTTTAGTTTTCCAAATAAAAAATCCCAATTTACCTGATCAAAAGCTTTTTCTGGTTGTAGTGAGACTAAGCTGTTGCTGAGTTTGTGTGAGATGTGTAATGGATTAAGTTCATAGTCTTGCTGGCTTATTGGTAGGATGCTCCGATCGATCGGCCGCCGATCGATATCGGCCGATATTCACTCTCTGCCGATCGATCGGTGCTCTCTATAAATGCCGATCAGGAGAGCCGACACTTTTCTCTGTGCGCGGCAAAACAAACTCGCCAAAATGGCTTCACTAGTCTGGCAGTATTTTAAGGTATCCGAAAAATACATGGATGTATAATAAGAACTGGATACAGCGTGGGAGGCGGGGCCTCATTCATTCCTATGAGAGCTGCTCATTAGCGCATGAAGATAAAATGGCCCAACTTTTGAAAGAGCGAAACGTTACAGATTACCCGTCATGCCTGAGAAGTACCCGTATGTGCGCTCATAGATTATGCGCAACTTTAACCACGCCCACCAAAAGGCTCGTTCACATCAAGCACGTCAATTTGTACACGTGACAGCACCGCGCGTTCATGACAGCATGGTACTGGATTGTTATGATGGATTTGATATGAACGAGGCGGCCGCGGCAGTTAGCAGCTAGCGGCTAGCTAGTAATTATGCTAATGTATACATAAATCGTTATGTACTTTTATATTACACTGATAACAGGATCTAGTGATATCCAAGCAACAGAGCTTCATTTAGCATGACGCTTGTGTGGGTTGTTCATGAAACCACTTGGTAATATACAAATATATCTGTATTTTGAGTTATGATCAATTGTGATTTAAATCTTTATCTAAAAAGTAAAGCTGATGATGGATTACTGTGGTGGAGTTAAAATAACAATAGCCTATTTCTCTTTGAAATGTGATGGAGTAAAAGGATAGTAACTGTGATTATTCATGTTAAGTAGCCCACAAGTAACTAAAACATATAGTACTTGAAGGAAAGGTGTAAAATGTTTCCATAAATACAAATATTACACACTACAACACAGACTATTGGCGCATTTCCACTACAGGGCCTCGCTCTGCCTCGCTCGGTATGGCTAGGCCTCGTTAGGCCTTGTTAGGACTGGCTCACGTTATGCTGCGTTTCCATTACAGTTTAGTAGCTGGGTTAGTTACTATAGTCACAGGCCCACCCACAGCTACGCCACTGGGCAGGGATGATGTTTTTTCACAAACCGACCGGGTTAGTATCGAAAGGGCTCCCTCGGCAAGAAGCAATGGGATTTTCACACTGGATTTCAGAATATTGTAGAAAATAAGATCTTTGGAAAACTAATTTTGTCACTTTTAAGCAACTGTAGGTTTTTTTGACACTCCAGACATTCTGATGTATTGAACAAAGTGTGGAAATCTCTTCAGCTTGTTTTAAACCCAGATCTATTACAGTAGTTTGATGTAAAATACCAAACACAATTGACTTTGAGCTGAGAGAACATAAAATGCTGACTCATTTCCGGGTTTTGAGATTCATTCGTGCACCACTTTATTAGTACCAAATATAAGTTATACAGCAGTTATTTTTGGCAATAGAGTGATAAAGCATGTGTGAAATAACTTAGGATGAAGGCAATTGTACTCTGTTCGAATTACCCATTTGTTTTTGGGGGAGCCCTATGTTTTTTTTTTTTTTAAATGTGCACTCCGGTGGATTTTTCTGTTAGCGGCAGGGAGAGCAATATACTTTTTGCCTCTTTGCAAATCTCACATCCACATTTTTTATGAAAAGCCATGGATACCTTTCATTCCTCTCACTCCATATTTTCTGTGTCCAGTTAAAAGGCAGGTCATGGGCATCGTCAGGTTCGCTAGTGCAGGGGGTGCCGGCGGCTGTGGCCGTTGTTGAAGCCTCTTCAGGCTCCGCATCGGCAGGCCTCTCCCTCGGTGAGGAGCTGTCTAACTCGACCCTAACGCCGCTTACAGCCGGCCGACTAAAAGTTGTTCCGTTCACTTTGTCATTTTTAGACTCCGTCGCTTCTTTGCTTGTGAATCCAAAAGCTGCGAGGCTTGGCTGTTTTTGTTTCGCCATATTTTTTATTACAAAGCCAGAGTTAAAAAATATATCAATGTGAACATTTCAAATACCGCGCCGGCATTCCCGCCGTAACCATAGCAACGTAAGAAGCGTAAAGAATGCAGCGCCGCCACGTACAGATGGCAACACCCAGAAATATTTACAAATATAAAACAACTATTCAGAAACTGTAATGAACAATGACTATTATTTATTTACAGAAAATCAACATTTCTAATCTGTGTGACACAAATATGCACGATTTTTTTGGGCTCCCCCTATTTATCTCAAAGTCAGCCTTCAGGGGATCTCCCCCCTCTTTAGGGGAGCCAAGCTCCCCCTGGCTCCCCCCCATTTCGAACACTGATTGTACTCTTTTTACTCAGTATGTTATTACTATATTTATATTTGCTTTTCCAATATGGCATTTTTTTTTAAACACTTGACAAATTAAAACAATTTGTAACACAAGCCCTGCTGCAATCATGTTTGGCTGTTTGAAAGATCCTGCAGGTGGCTCTGTATTAAACAGAGGATTGTGAGCTACAGTCAGTAAGGGACTGTCTGATTGGCTGCCTGCAGGGGGGCTCCAGCTGATTGAAACTTTTTTGCTCGATACTGAGGAACCAAAGTCCCTCTCCACCATTAAGGTGTTCCTTTACCTCCGAGCTTCACTGCAAAATAATATCCGTGCAGTGTTTTATGCATTAATCTTCTGAAGGGGGTTGTCGCTTTTAATCTCAGTACTTCATTTTCCGTAGCCGAAATTAAGTACTTGATACTATACCAGTTTAAATGTACATGTTTCTTGAAACCAATTTAGTTCGACATAACAAAACAAAGTATTACATCCCATGTGCTTCAACATACCCTCCTGTATGACAATTTGCATACTGTGTTCTGTTCAACAGGTCATAACTCTACCTATTATATCAATATATACTTTTTTTTTTACTAACCCGGGGGAGTGTGGGAGAAAAACTCCCTCTGGAGGGAACACAGGGATTGTAGCCTTTGCAGACCATTTAAATGCATAAAAACCTATTGAACACACTACAGGAAAGGGACCCCCTCCCAACAAATGTATAGGGCCTCTTTAAATGTATGATTAGAGGCTTGAAAAGCAAGAGGCTGAACCCCCCTAAAAATATTCCTGGTTCCTTCTATCCATGTGTAGTGTCTTTAAAAAAAGTAACCTAAATTAAACCCAAGAAACGTTTTCTGAAATTTGACACCATGTTAAAAATCTTCCAGACTTTAATTTGACCTTGTTTTCACCTTGGATTGACATGATCATGATTTAACTTGATGTTGTCCTCTATCTCCCCAGCTGTTGCCATGACAACAGACGAGGCAGAGAGTCACCAGAAGAAGCCGAGGCAGCAGGAGGAAGCCGGGCAGGAAGCAGGGTCTCCCCCCCCGGAGGAGGAGCAGCTCCGGCCTCGCAACCGCAACTCTGCCGGCCGCGGCCTCTCCCGCCTCTTCTCCTCCATCCTGAAGAGGCGCTCGCAGTGTGAGAGTGAGGCGGGAGAGAAGGAGGACAAGGAGGAGAAGGAAGCCAAAGCCCCCATCGCTGACCCCGAGCCTGAGCTGAGGACGGAGGGGGCCCCGGACCGCCACTCCATGAGCAGCGCCGATGCTCAGGTCAGCTGCACACACACACACCTGTGTTTGATCACTGACACTGACTGGTATTATTTACACACTGATGACTTTAATTCTTTTACATTGTATTTTTTAATCCCACATCTTCAGCATTTTGTGTACTCCTGCGGAACTCCCACACATTGTGAAAGAGCTACGAGACAAATGCATAGTCTGATAGATGGATAAATAAATAGATATATATTTAATGATCCAAAGTTGCTAAATTGTTTAATCGAAGCAGCATTTTGACAATTTACAAGAATTACAAAATGTCTTTAAAAAATAGAATAAAAATACAAATAAAATAAAGATAAAGATTAGAAATGAAAAAAATAATATACATATTCTCAGTAAAAAATACATATATTCAGAGAAGTATCTCTATATAATTTTCAGAATAAATTAGAATACTCTCTAATATACCAATCTACTAAACATATATACATAGTGTACTATATACATAACGTTTTTTTAAATATACAGTATAGTAGAAGTAGTAGTATTACAGTATGTGAAAATTGTTAATGCTCATAGAGGGGAGCACCTGAACACACTATTGCCCCTTTCACACCAGCGCTTTTTCAGCTCCGAATCGGAGCTGGAGCCTGAAAAGCGCCGGTTTTTCCTGTTCACACCGCAGCGGCGCCGGCTCTTAGCTCCGGAATCCGGTTCACTTCCAGCTCCAAAAAATGGTCGGTCTAGAGCAGGGGTGGCCAACCAGTCAGAGGTTAAGAGCCACATTTTTTCTATGTTACTTCAAAGAGCCACATCAAACACACAGTCACTGATACCGCTTGTTTCAGTTTTTTGTTTTCTGGAGACAAGATTTCAACCACGTCACTGATTCATTTTTGTGGCATTGGGATATATATTTTTTAAATCCTCTGGAGCAGAGAGAGGAGCTGTGGATTATTGTTATTGATTAATGCATCAGTGTTTCTTAGGGTCAAAAACACTAAACTCACAACTTAAAATGAAAGTGTTTAGTTTATTTAATAAAAGAGCACATGTTCAATGTGAAAAGTGACAGTAGTTATAGATTATTTGCAATTTGGTGCTATATATATATATATTTTAAAAAAAAAGTTATATTTTTTTTTTTTAAACACCTTGAATATCAGGGGGGGAGGCGGGGCTCCGTTGGCGGGGTGCAGCGCCCCTCCAAGACAATGGTAGGGGAAACACTGGATAATGTTTAATCAACGATAGGTTTCCCCCCCCTCAAAGGTGATTGGTTCACTGCATCGCAGGTATTATTGTGATTGGCTCTTGGGCCACATAAAAATTATACGCGCTGTCATCCTCTCATACTGACACCACACATACACCACATACATAACACGGGACGAAAGTAACGGAGCGATTTTATCCGAGGCCAAACAACTTTGACCGGCCACATTACGTCAGAATTATCAGCATTCAATACTTAACAGACCTACTAAATATCAGGTTTAACTGTCAGGAGTAGCTAGTGTTGTCACGATACCAACATTTTGGTTTTGATACCAAGTCAAGAATTGCGATTCCGATTCTTTTTCGATATTTTCTTTAAAAAAGGGAAACAGTCTTAAATGTAATTATTGTGCTTTATTTCACACCAGAACCATAACACACACTTTTAAACAATGAGAACAATAAATACAATAAATGACAAGAATTCGTATTAAATCAAATTAATAAATGTCTTACAGACAGGCCTCGTGGTGTCCGTAGGCTTGCCCTCACTGTCAGAGATATAGCTAAAATACTTCCAAATTTCGCTTCTGGCGTCTTTCTTGTCAACAAGCCGAGGCGCAGCGGCAGCTGCACTCCCACTTGCAGCCATGCTTCTCGTTTTCTCACATGCTCTGGCAGCTAGCGCGTGCACGAGAGAGGGGAGGCACTTGAGTGTGCTTGAGAGGGGAGGGACTTAGAGCGTGCTTGAGAGGGGAGGGACTTAGAGCGTGCTTGAGAGGGGCGGGACTGCAGGCACGGCTGCAGTGCAGGGAGTGGAAGCAGAGCGCTGAACACACACGGCTCTTATTAAAACGGCGCTTTCTCACCGGAGTACTTTTCCCCGTTATTCTTAAAGTACCGATACTAATGAAACGGAGGAATCGTAACGTTTTTAACGGCAGGGTATCGCGGTACCTTTCAAGTATCGGTACACCGTGCAACACTAGTCAGGAGTCAGTGTCTCTCCCCCAAACTCACACATATAAAATTCGATATGAACTGAAGAGCCGCATGAAACTAGGCAAAGAGCCGCATGCGGCTCGAGAGCCGCGGGTTGGCCACCCCTGCTATAGAGGCAAGAGCTTCGGAGCTAAGAGGTGGCGTCGCTTACGTCTCTCTTACGTCGAGGCGTGCAGGAAACTAAACCCTCCTCCCCTGAACATGGGTCGACTGTCATGCCTGCCTACAAGCAGTAGTGCTTATAAACACACTTTATAAAGTCAGGCAACACTAACCAGGCTTCGTGTGATTCTGTTTATTTGTACCTTACTTTGACCATCCGTTCACTGTTATTGATCATTGTGGAGAGAGGCAGACGTGTTGTTTTGTATTATAGCAGCTATCGGATGGAATCAATACATGGGCTGCACAGGTTGTCGTGTCCGACTATCACAAGTAGAATCATTATAAAAATACGCCGGTAAAATGGGCCTGTAGAAAACGGTTTATGCCACAATAGGATAGCAATAGCAAGTAGTCAGTTTAGCTTCGGTTGCTATGCTAACATCACCCATTTTATACCAGAGAAACTTTCATAACAGCGTTATGCCAAACAGCGTCAATTCAGACTGACACACATTCACTTAGGCTAAGGGGAACTGGGGATATATATGTATCAGCTGCTTGTGTGAGTCGGACAGTGAATACTTTAGAGCGGCCGCAGCAGTGTGAGCTAACCGGGAGCTAACGGAGGAGAATAAACTCCCGTGGAAGAGCAGCCAACACTGCAGCGGTCGGTAAATGCTGCAGAAACACATTAATAAACAATGAACCACGGCACTCTGGAGCAAAGTATAAGGTTGGAGAAGTCGTTATTCAATTTATTCTGGCTTCGCGTGATTAAAAGCAACACGATCATCGACCCGACGCAGTTCCCCGTTGTTGTTGTTGTGAGCGCCGTAACGCCGTTGGGGAGCAAATCAGCGATGTAAACGGTGACGTCATGACGCAGCAGCGGCAGCACCAGTCGGGCTCTGGGCGGTGTGAACAGAGCGGGAGCAGAAAAGGGAAACCGGAGCTGAACCAGAAAAGCTCCCGCTCGGAGCTAGAAAGGGAAAAGCGCTGGTGTGAAAGCCGCAAATGAAGCAGTGAGTTCTGTTGCAGGAATCAGGAAGCCCGTAAATTAGTTTTGGTTACATACCTAAAATAACATCTGTGCTTAAGACAAGCTGAAGAGATTTTAATGTTTTGTTCGATGACATAAAATATGTCAGTAAATATCCCACTGATGAATGTCTGAAAGTTCAATGTGTCATGGAAATAGCGGTTGCCAACAAGTGGCTAAATGAGACTAAACGACCAAACACAAGTTATGTGACCGTGATGTAGTTTGTTTTTTCCTTAATCTAAACATTTTTAACTTGTAATGATTGCATTTACGCTTCCCAAATCATAAAAAAGGTGTTAATTCAGCCTACAAAAATACATTTTCACTTCACCACTATTACTGGGAACGCATGGTTTGTTGCAGGACTCTCTGACAGTCCAGGTGGCGTATAAGCAAACAATCTGTGAAGAAGATATAAGTGTTAATGAAATAACTCCAAACCCAATACCGCTCCTCGACGCAGAGAAGGAACTGTAAATAACTGTAAACTCATATCAAATATTCATAGACTTTATCACCTCCACACACTCCCTGTGAAGAAGGGAGTCAAACAATGTGATTCTTCTGGCAAATAATTAATAACTCCAATGTAGAATTTTAAGTTCTCCTATTTCAGCATTTGAAAACTGCTTTTTAAGATTCTTGAGACATATGAATCACACTAATACATTAGAACTATTTGCATTTATTAGTATTCTGTGGCATGCATATTTGTATTGATAATGAGATAATGTCCTGTTCCCCAGACCCGTGTGTTTAAATGAGACCTGTCTAAAGAGATGATAAGAGATGGATTACAACCATGGAAGGTGGTGCGTTAGTAATTGTACTCTTCAGCGTCACTACGTCAGTGAGCTGTCTGTAACAGTCTCTACAGGGTCTGTTGCCCATGGTAACAGCAGCTGAAATTACAAGGAAATTAAGCATCATGTGTTGTGCTGTTGTAGCGTTTATCTGATTCCTGCTCTGTGTGTGAGAGCCTCCCATCCACTGCATCCCCACACAAAGAAGTATTGGGTTAAGGCTCTAAAAAAAAATCATTATTCATTTAATAAAAGTGGTATTTTAAAAATGTGACAACATTTATGGATGAAATATAGGTATCCGTTGAATAATTGATCATACAGCGAGATTCTAAACATTGCCATTAAGGCACACAGTTTACCTTGCTTCATTGTCAACAGAGTGTACCCTGTACTGTCTGTCAGGCTGCCCAGGTAGAGAAGAAAGAGGCAGAGGAGGATGAGGGTGGAAAGGACAAAGAGAACAACAAGGAGAAAGAAGAGGAGGCTGCGCTGGAGAAGGAGGAGAAGACGGAGGAGAAGGAGGAGAAGGAGGAGCAGGAGTGTGGGCCTGAAGGAGGCAGTAAGAAAGACGAGGAGGAGAAGACTGCCGAAGAGCATGCCGAAGCTGCCAAAGCTCCTCACAGACCCAGGACCATGCAGATCAAAGTCAACCTGCTGGACGACGCTCTGTACGAGTGTGAGCTGGACGTAAGAGCATCGTTTTATTCTATCAGACTACATTTCATCTGCCAAAATGATTGAATTGTGTGCAGCCACATGCTTTTGATGAAAGTATTCGGGCTTTAGCCTAGTTGCCAGCTCATAGAGTCCTGTTGTGAACCTGGAAATGTGGAGTAACATGAAGTTTTATGTTAGAAATGTATAGTAGGGTCTCCAGCACATAGAAACTGCCGGATGCTCGCTTGCATATGTTGGGCAATTTGCACAATTGGTATAAGTTGCATTAATGACCATTATAGCATATGCAGACAAAAGTAAAAAAAATGCTTTGCCGATTTGGACAGTTTTGGAGGTGATTGACAATTATTCTGACAATTTAAGAAAAAAAAAGGCAGTTTTAACCAGAAAGTGGCCATGTTTGTATTTTGGGTCCATTTTAAAGTTTTAGTCGACTCAAAACTCCAAAAAATGTTACTGTAAAATGTCAGAAATTGATTCAACATCCTCAATATACCTAAAAAACCACACCAAAATTGTCCAACTCGGCCAAGCCATTTTTAACCAATTGTCTGCGTATGCTAATTAATGCAACTTATGCTATTTGTGCAAATTGCCAAATATGTGAGTTAGCATCTGGCAGTTTATATGTGCTGGGGACCCCTACTATACATTTCTAACAAAAAAAGTAGACTAATTACCAAGTTTTATCAAGTAAGACAAAGTTACAAACATTAAAACGTAAAAAAATACAAAGGTTATAGAGCAGTAGTTGTTACACCAGGTTTACTTTTATTCAACCTCGGCTCATTTGAGACAACATTTTGTTTGATAGAGTTGGATAAACTAAAGAGATGTGAAAGCCTCACATGGTTGGAGGCAGACATTTCAGAGACTGATATCTCCAAATCTGGACCAATTAAACCAAAGCTGTCTGCATGGGTGCATACCACCAGAGGGATGGGAGAGGATGTTAGTTTGAAAAGTTTCTAAGTGTTGTTCTGTGAGTATTAGCCTACAGAACAGTTTACAGAGAAGAGATAACATCTGATCCTTTTACAACAAACACTATATGCTCTTTTTAGGTTTTACTTAACTTCCCGTCTCCAAACCCAATGAGGAACGTCTTAAATCTCTCCTCAAACTTTCAACTAACCTCAGTGCAAAACCCAATACTAATGACACGCCTAATATTCTGTCTTCTTTAACACTAATCTGATAAACCATCATCTTTGTAGTAATCATATTCTTTAGAGGTCCTGGAGGAACATTTTAAATGCTCAATACGGACCACCACTAACTTCATAAAGCCAGCAGACAGATTCTGTAATGTTTGCGTGTGGCTCTGCTTCAGTTCTTACATTTTTACCCACTCAGTGTCTTGTTCCTGTATTCATGTGTCTCAGAAACATGCAAAAGGCCAGGAGCTGTTCATGAAGGTGTGCGACAACCTCAACCTGCTGGAGAAAGACTACTATGGACTGGTGGTGTCTGAGACGCCCACCACCAAGGTGAGCTGGATTTTAACCAGTAGAAGTTAAACAATCCCACCTCATGATTTAATTAAGAAAAGAAAGGGCAACTCTTTAATGTACATGTCATTGATGGTTAGATTTGCCTCAGTTTTAAAGGACTGAACATGGTCCATGATATCAAACCTCATGCCTCATTTTTTTTATCAGACCTGGATGGACCTTACCAAGGAGATCCGCCGGCAGGTACCGGGTGAGCGGAACCTCAACCACAAACAAACCTTCTGTTCTTACTTTTATCTTGACACATATTTTATCACATCTTCATTTTCTTTCTTAGGTGCCACCTATAATTTCAACTTCAATGTGAAGTTCTATCCACCGGACCCAGCCCAGCTATCTGAAGACATAACAAGGTACTGCACACCTCAAACTGATGAATAAAATAATATATTATTATTCTCCAGATGACAGGATAATATTAGGATAGGAGAACAGTGCAAAGGGTAATCTGTGGTCGAGTGCATGTGTGTTTTCAACAATATCATCAGTAAAATAACTCAGAGACAAACATTAAAACAATAAATGTGTAATTTATGCAACATATTAGTGATTTTAGCCTGATTGGAATACACGGAAATATCTGTCTCATGGTTCCCTCGTCTTGAAGTTTTTTAAACATGTTTTTGGTTATATGCCTGAAATAAGGTCTGTGGTTAACACAAGAGATTTTATCACGTTGTTTTACAACATTACACTTGTCAATACATGTCTGAAGCTTCTCTGTGTCTTAAAAACTGTGTTGGCTGAGAAGTGACTAAATGAGACCTTTAGCTTAGCATGCATGTATTTGTTTAAAGCCTTTAGGTAAAACAGCCTTAACATTTAATTTATATGGTTTCCTCCCCTGCTAGCTTGCGCCGCTTAGCAAAGCTGTCATCTTGTTGGTTGCCAAAAGGTCTGCAGTAACTGAGGTCAACGTTGAAGTAGTTTGAACTTTAAGCGCAGCACTTGGGGACAATTTGCAGCGATGAAGAACACCCAGGGTGGCGCTTCTGCCTACTCTCCATAGAAACACAACGGCAACACCAGCTCAACTCTAAAATCCAAAGGAAAATCCCATAGATTTTTGTTGAGGGAGCCCTTACTATGCTAGCATCAGGGTCGGTTCATCGCTGCAAGGAATCAAACATATTGTAATCAAATACAGGGGCGTGTTCACATGAGAGATAATTCAGAACTCCCCACTGAGATCATGTGACCCTGCTGCAGGTACTACCTGTGTCTCCAGCTGAGGAAGGACATCCTGCAGGGACGCCTGCCCTGCTCCTTCGTCACGCTGTCCCTGCTGGGATCCTACGCCCTGCAGTCGGAGCTGGGCGAGTTTGACCCCGAGGTGCACCCCCCCAACTACGCCAAGGAGATGAAGATGGCCCAGGGTCAGACCAAGGAGCTGGAGGACAAGATGATGGAGCTGCACCGCACATATAGGTCAGAACTCAGGGACACCAGTGCTTCACTTTCCTTACCTAATCAACGGATTTGTAAAAGAGTAATGTTGTACCCCGTATTCAACATTTTTCATCAAAAGGACATAAATGTCATCTGCAAAATGCAACTAAGGTGTCCAAATGCAAGGTGAGGAAAGTTGAAAGCATTAACACATAGTGCAAAATATTAAATTACATTCAAATACATTGTAGCTCCCTCCAGTAAATGACACGAGGCTGAGGTCTTGATTTAAAATACTGGGTTTATTTGGTGGGACCTATTCCAACCCGTGAGAACTGGGTTATAAGACAGACAAATATAAAAGGTAAACAACAAATAAATATGTAATATATGCATATGTCATCACTGTTAATGCTGCTAAATAAAACAATAAACGGCACACATATCCCACACAGCATGTAGCACAAGCTAACAATAGCATGTAGCACAAGCTAACAATAGCATGTAGCACAAGCTAACAATAGCATGTAGCACAAGCTAGCGCATAGCATACACACACATAACCTGCAGCTCAACCGCACACAATTACACAAACAACCAGCACAAACACTTACCTCGTAGGCTGCTAGTCACCTAGAGGGGCTGATAACTTTAGCTGCATTTTTCCCTTGGTTTCCTTAGTTTTTCTTTAGCATCCTGCGTTGCTCTGCAGTTGCAACTACCAAGTGCGTCGATTAAACAAACAGGTGTAACACAAAACAACGCAGATTAGTTCCGCCTCTATTGTTGTTACCATAGACTGTATATATAAATGGACGTAGGGTCCGTGACGTCACCCATAGGATTCTGCAGAGTTGCCGTGAAGCCCTTAGTAGGCGGAGTCGGCCACTAACGGCTCGACAGTGAGGTCAGAGTTCAACTCCCGCCTTCTCCAGCCTGCTCCAAATAAGGGCAAAGAGGCGGAGCCGAGGCGGGACCTGCTGCCACCGAGCTGGAAGTTCCAGAGCTAGCTGAAGCTACCAAGCTAAGCTAACATGCTCCCCATCTGCACGCTGCCGTCGCATTTTACGTTTCTAAGGTAAGCGGACATGAAACTATTCAGCAAAACTATAAATAATAATCTAAGTTATTGAGTTTTTAGCATAATACTTCAGAATCTTAAAACCCCTTAACGTTTGTATGCAATTGTGCTAAATTCAACACTGGAATCAAGCACATATTAATATGTTTGCATGACATTAGTTATTTATATTTTGATATCACTTAACTTTACGTTTAATACATTTAAGTCAAGCTAAGGTACATGTGATGGTAGCTAGTTAGTGCTCTTACATGTGAGGCCTCCTCCAAACAGCATAATAACCAGACTGTATCATTAAAACTAAGTACCAGTTCTAGATCCTTGACTTTAGACAAACAATTCAAAAGACAAAATGTATTTAAAGGCCAATCTTTATTTGAATGTGCCTCTTAACCTGAGATATTAGTTATACAGTAATAGTATTGACAATCTAAAAAAACTGAGCAACTCAACAGTCAACTTTATGTTTCTTATTGTCTAAAGCATTTATTATTTTCATTTTCCCCCTCTCATATTCAGTGTGGACGGATTGAGACAGCATGGTGTCCAGAGAGCTGCAGAGACTTCAGGGAGAAACCTCCGTGTGATGGACGTCCTGTCTGTTGGTTTGGAGAGGACTGAGGGTCTTTCCTCTGCGAGGAGGACCAGGGCTGATGAAGGAGCCCATGCTGGGCAAAGCTGATACCAACTGCACAGGCCTAGTCGGTCACTTTATTTGACTAAATGTGTTTACTTATACATTTAATAGGTTTACACCTTCTGTCCATATGTGCTTTTTATTTAAAACATTGATTAACTTTTGGTTCACATTTCAATAAATTGTATTTGTATTTGCTCTCCTTTTGTCCATTATTCTTACTGAAAATGTTAGATTACACATTCACATCTGACTGAAGATTGGCCCCATTTATTTGTGACATTGCAAAACAAGGTACATGTTGTGAAGCTCATAAAGTGAGACAAATAGAAATAATCAGCGGATGGAGTGTAGATGTGGAAATAGCTGCATTCGATCAGCTGACTGTTTTTACAATAAAAGTAGTTTCTTAGTGAATGTCCTGTACTGGTCTTAAAATCTCATAACATCAGCTTTTAATGTTCCTCTTGGATGTTCTTCTTGACCCTCAGAGAAGGAGAAAATGTCCTGTCTTTCAGGCATGTCCTTTCCTAACAAAAATGACAGGAAACATAAAACATATTATTGCAGAACAAGTGTGTTATTTATGAAAGCGGTGTGTTTGTGTGTTTAGGGGCTGTAGATATAATTATTTTGTAATTGTAATGTTTTTATTTTATTTCAACAGTGAGCTACAAAGACAATCAGATTATGAATGAACAGTATGAAGTTCATCACATTGAAATATATGTTATTATCAAAATAATATTTAACTGTTATCAAAACGTAGTGCAACTGTAGAAGCTTGCTCTGTTGTCTCACTGAAAGAATCACTTTTACCACGTTTTTTACAGACAATATTGAGAGATAAATAGTAGCAGTTCTCACTATGTGTTAAATATCTTTGCCTTCAATACATTAAATTAGAAAGCTGACAAAGTCATATTGCTAAATATCTAAATGTAACTTTTTGCATGGAAAAACCCCTCAACTTTACTGATGTGTAGGTGATCTAGTATTTAGTATTGTTTAATGGAATGTATATCAGTATATTCAAGTCAATACTTCATTCATTTAAACCAATATCTTTCTTGATTCTTTGTACAGTATGAAAAAAGAGTCTTTGTACCTGAGCTGAAGTTCACTGCTGTGAGGAGTCCAGTTCTGTCTCTCACTCTCTGGTCCAGCCTGTCTGCATCACCTGGACACTTTAAACAAACAGATATATATGTAAAGTACCATGTATACAAACAATATAACTGATTCTCTTCTGTTGAACATGTTGGATTGTGTATTGTCCGAGTCAGGGTCCTTTTTATTTTACTGTAACTTTGGAAGTTGTGTTACCAATGCTTACTGTTTATTTGATACCCATTTGGTAATGCAATTAATAAAAACAACAAGGTTTGGGTTCGTTCTTCAGATGACTGTGACGTTAACGTGTAAGCTCAATAATGAACTCCAGCTCAACCAACCATATTGTAATATCTAAGTAATCATCTTGAAATATGACATTATTAATTGTAATATACACACATCTTATTGTGAGGTTGATTTCACATACACTACTTCGACATTAGCTTGTCTACATACTTGAGCGTAGCCAATTTAAATTAACCTTAGATGCATACAGTTCTACCTACATAATACAATATCTCTAAGTTACAAGGATGTAACCTTATTTTATCAACCTCAAACAGAAGCCGTTTGTTCAACAGTATTATCCCACTTAACACTTGTCTATTTCGTTTTAACCACAATCTATGATTTTAACTTGGAGGCTACGATTACAATCGTTAACACCGATGAAGCTACCACTAGCTTACATGCTAACCCAAGCCTTACCATTCATTACGTGGCTGATTAAAATCATTAACACATAAATAAAGCACTAGAATTTCACTTACCGCAAAACCGCATTCATGCAGCGTCTGTTTTAACCGCAGAGCGAGTCACAATAGTCCGATATATAAGCATGAAGAACAAACAACCACGGCCGGCTACAAGTTGTGTTTCCTGGATGAGCTGAGCAGGCAGAGTCCCTGTAGCTAGCTTCACGGAGCAGCTAGCAGAGAGACAAGAAGCTAACAGCGGCAGGGACTTGACAGAGCCGTCACTCAATGTGACCACGCCCTAATTTATGCACAAACTTTAAGACCTAATATAAATAAAAGGGTCGCGTTAGAAAACAATTCACTCACAGATCCATAATCATGAAGGTGGAATCTAACTATATCGATAATAAAATGTATGGAGCCAGGGGTAGAAACATGTTTTTTTCTGCTGTAAAGTTGGGCATTTTAACATGGGGGTCTATGGAAATTGCTCCTTTCTGCAGCCATCGCCTATCGGCCAATATATGAACTGCAGTGTGTGGCACTTCCGTATTGGCTTCCCGGCTCTACCCCACAGTTTGCCGCTTGGTTGTTACACATAAAAAGATAGGAGCCAAAAATACAATGTGGAGCAAATGAACAACAGAAAGTGAAGACAGTTACACTCCCACCAAATCACCTGGTTTGTTTTCATAAACATTTTTAGAAAACCAATGTACTCTTTATAACATTAATGTAAAACGAACTATTTCATTTTAGACTTAAGTGCAGAGTGTGAGTGAGAGTAACTGTACAGAGTTTTAGCCTGCTTCCAACAACAACACCGTCTTGTGGATAGGCCTTTCGAGGTAGACAGGTTTAGCGAGGCGCTTTCCCTTTCCATCGCTGATAAGCAGCTTGAGCCTTCTCACTCTTCCATCTCCTCCTGGGTACACTTCCACAACCCTGGCCAGCTTCCATTGGCCACGTGGTATAGTGTTGTCTTGCAGAATGACAACGTCATTTACCTTGACGTTTCTGCGGTCCTTGATCCACTTTGGTCTTTGTTGGAGATGGTACTCCTTATGATACTGAAGGCACTTTATTTCTTGAGAGAGTGTTGCTTCTTGAACCATCTTGATTATTGCCAGCTCTGCTTCTCTCCTCTCCTCTAAGCGTGTGGCTTCACAGGACCTTGGCTTGAGACCTTTAATTTCCTTTGCAAGGCGCTTGAGTCTGGCAAAAGCTTTAACCACTATTGACCCGTCTGAGAACTTGTGAAAGTGATCTAGTAGCGACTTTACTTCGTTTGCCTGGGTATCATGAACCTGGGCCTTCTTAAGCTCTGGGTCACTACTCATGATCTCTCCCACCTTGACTTCTCCACTTGGTAGCTCTTTCTGCCAAAGTAGGTCTGGGCCTGTGAACCAATTTGAGGCTTGAAGTTGCTGTGCTGTGAGACCTTTGGAGGCCTGATCTGCAGGGTTATCTTCAGAAGCTCTTTCGACAAAGTCAGATTCCAGCACCT